GGCAGATTCACAATTAGAATAGTGCTGTGAGTAATTCTGCCATGCAAAGGCAAATACTACTATGTTGGCTCACCCAACCCCAGCTGACCCAACATGTCACATGACCTGACCCAACATAGTAGTTTTTGCCTTTGCACAGCAGAATTTCAAAACTTCCTGTTTTACAGTAGACAAATCCTTGTAAAGGGAAATCGCCATTGGAAGATAAAGTCATTAAATTTTACTCCAAAGCCATCACATTCTGCACTATTATCTTTTCTTTTTTTGTTAAGAATAAGGCCAAAATAATGTTTACACTAATTTTTGACAGAAAAATACATATAGATATGAACCATCAGTAGCGCCAGCCATCACTAAATACCAAACATAATCTGGTGCGGTTGGTTGATGCAGGGGGCGTCAAAGTCTAGTAGGAAAATCTGGAAATCCCCGGCGTGACGTCACGTCGGGGATGACCGACGGCACCTTGCACTAAAAGATACGGCAGAACGGCTATTTTTGAAAAATGATTAAAAATACTTTTGTGCTGTTATGACACACAAAACGCTTATCAGCATGTTCCTCATCATGTGATAAAGGCATATCCGTGGTCGAAAATAGTCGAGACCCTCCCAATTTCCAACCATCGACCTGATAAGCAAAGGATGTAAGCATAATCCTTAAGGGCGAATTTCCGTTACATATCCGTACATATGCATCCTTATGGCAATCGGTAGTTTGGCGATTGGCGACGCGCGCGACATCTGTGCTGCGACTGTAGCGACGCCTGGTGGCTGCTTTTCTCCTGTATGTAGGTATTGGGGTTTTGCCAGATGTGGTTCCTACTGCTACACCACTATGTTGACCCAATACTAGAAAAGTTATTTTGCTAGTAAAAGGCAAGCAAATTGAAAGTTGATTTATAAAATTGCTGATAAATGATCATGAGATAATAATAAAGAAATTTTGATTGAATTATTATTTAAATAATCAACCGTGAAACTATATTCTGGTAGGTTTAGTAGAAATAAGTCCGTGCAACCTTGTATTTAGGGCCTTGGGTTGATGCACATGTAACGATGAATGAAGGTCATAGGGTTTGAGAGGTAGGTAAATAGCAATCAGCAATGCAGGCACATTTCATTTTAAGCAGATAATCTTACATGATAAATGGTTCCCAAAGATGGCCTTGGTCACAGTCTGTCATGTGATAGTAAGACACTGCCTGTTTGTGTTCCTAGAGCAGCTTGTACTTTGCTGGGTCTCAGCAATTTCCAGCAATCAGATTTGATGATGAAACATCCATTTTAGCATTTTAATACCTTTTGATGTGATATCTTTAGTTCTCCAGGCTAAAGTACATTTATTGACCAGCTTTTTCAAATGGGGATATTTCTCATTTGGGGAATCTCTCACCTGGTAGAAGTTTGAATGAGAAGTTTGGTGGAGGATCGGTTTAGTACCTATGGGAGTTGAAACCAAATATGCCCATAATAGGGTATGATGGACGATGGTGTCGCATGTACTTCATCCACACACTTACCAAAATAACAGGCTGCTAAAAATGGCAGATTTTACCACAGTTTCCCCTACTGGTGTGAGCTCAATTAACATCACTATTACTTAGCCCCTAAGACTGATGAGGACAATAGTGAACAAATCGTGTCCGGACAAAATTTCGTCTGACATTTTTTCGTCGGACAGTTTTTCGTCCGCAGATTTTCGTCCGACTTTTTTTCGTCTCGCATTTTTTCGTCTGTACATTTTTTCGTCTGTGCATTTTTTCGTCCGTACATTTTTTCGTCTGTACATTTTTTCGTCCGGACATTTTTTCGTTCGTATATTTTTTCGTCTGTACATATTTTCGTCCGGACATTTTTTCGTTCAATAAATTTTACGTCTGTGCACCCAAGGTTGAGTGAAAACATACTACAATGCTATTCAACTGTGAGGCAAATGACGTCATAATAATACTCGGGGCGAAGCAGTGCAGTGCCGAAGGCAATGCCTTAGGAGAGATTACAGGCAATGGTAAGTCAAATATTTTTAGGTTAAGTGGTTGTGTATCTGGCTTCAGGCCGAAGGCCTGAAGCCTGATGCATAACCACTTAACCTAAAAATATTTGACTTACCATTGCTTGCAATCTATTCATGCAAGTAACTTCTTCCTTATCCCCCGGTAGGCAAACATCAATAGGTAAGGTTAGGTAAGGTTAGGTTAGGTTAGGTTAGGTTAGATTCGGTTACGTTAAAATTGTAGACGAAAAAATGTCCGGACGAAAAAACGCACAAACGAAAAAATATACGAACGAAAAAATGTCCGGACGAAAAAATGTACAGACAAAAAAATGTACAGACGAAAAAATGCACAGACGAAAAAATGTACAGACGAAAAAATGCGAGACGAAAAAAATCGGACGAAAATCTGCGGACGAAAAATTGTCCGACGAAAATCTGCTGGACGAAAAACCGTCATGGAATCGAACAAATTGACCATTGTCTTATCCTAGTCCACTAAACCTATAAATATACCTGTATGTTTTTTACACTGATACCTATAGGGTGTTTATATCAAGTTTATCATAGGCGGCGCCCGGCGGAACGGGGAGGGCACTGCAGTGCCCTCCCTGCAGTGGGGCACCGTGCCCTGTTTGATTTTGGCATTTTAACATTCGCCCTATGGGCGTTGCATGGAAAGAATGGGACCAAAAGTCGGCAGTGCCCCCCCTTAATTGAAGGTGTTCCACTACTGAAGTTAACATAGCCTTGCTATGGGCCATAGCATAGGCAGCTAAAACATCAAACGTGTGCTACGACCTGAATTCAGTTGGGGAAACTACGAGGAGCCAAACAAAAATTGAATTAGCCAATCAGCTGCTGGAGTGGGCGGGGCGATGACCATATATGGTCATAAAATCAGACAACTTCATCTTTTCAATGAATTTTAGCATTCAAATGAAAAAATAAGGCATAAGAATGTTTTTTAACCACACAAGGCCTACACTCACCCGGTGCATAATTAACTGGCGGCTCTAAATCGCAGAGTTACAACGCAAGGTCAAACCGTGATTGGCAAATATGGCGGATTGAAACAGACGCGCCAAAAAATGTAAGCAGTACTGTGGTTTAAAAATGTCATTATTTTTATTATTTTGTTTATGGTTTTTCTAATTGTAGTTAAGTTATTATTTTAGAATTAAATATTTTTGTTTATTGTAATTAAATTTAAGCTTTTAACAATTTTCTTTCATAAAACCAATCCATTTATTGAATGGCCAGCTGATTGTGCCGCCCAGAACCTGCAGAAAAGCCGTTTTCCTATCGCCATTTTCGAGTCAATTCACCGAATTTAATCAAATCACACTAATTCCTAGTGAAAAATGGAAGCCTTTTCTCTCCAATAAGTGGACGCGATACCGCAAGTACCGGCTTGTTATACCGTTTTTCACCCTTAGTGGTGGGGCTGCATTTATGTTCATATATGGTCATCAAAAGTCAATTTATTGACCAATCCATTTTTTGACATTCACCTCGTAGTTTCCCCAACTGAATTGGAGTCGTTTGGCAACAGCAACAGTGACCTGTCTCTGACTGAGCGATAACTGCTGGCACAGGCAGGAAGAAAGTACAATTAGGGCCTACGATAACTACACATCAAGGATAAATCACTTCTTACCTGTCGACTCGTAGAATAAATACAAGCAAATTAATTGATCTAATATATAAACGATCACTTCTGCAAATTTCCCCAATATCAATATCCTTGATCAATATCAACGATATCAACCAACGCGCGCACGCACGTGTATCTTGATCCCTCACAATTGTCGCTTCTGCGCTAGATAGGCCTATATTGAGCAGTTACTTTGCTGCTATATTTTATAACAGCATTTTTGTCAAACAATATTCCACTGCCAATACAGCGGCCATTCTGAAATTTGAAAACCATGAACTGTAAATATGCGAACTGCAGAGCTAGGCAAGTGCGTTCCTTTAGTGCGTTCCTGCGTTCTTCCGTACGTACGCACCGCCCTTTTTAGGAACGCAAGAACGCAGGAACGCAAAGTTTTTCAAAGGAACGCAAGTAAGAGGAACGCACCACCCGAAATTTTGAAGCGTTCCTGCGTTCTTGCGGAACCACCCGAAAAATTATATTGCTGCCAATGACCTCTGTGTCAAATGTTTGAATCTCGAGTACGTGTGTTTGCCGGTAGATGCGCCAGTTGTCGGTCGAATCGAGGAAGGCTTGCTTAGATTTAGTGGTGATGTTTACTATTCGATTCGGTTTCAGGCATTAAATGTGTAAAAAAAATTTAGTGGTGATGTTTACTATTCGATTCAGTTTCAGGCATTAAATGTGTAAAGTAAATATGATAACTTTTACTAAGATACATCTTTTAACTTAACTATTGTTTTTTTAAGCAGGTCGTATTTTTGTTGAAAACCCTACGGATGATATTGGTAAAACGTATTTCAGATATTCGATTCGGAAAAGAGATGTCGAGGAGTTGCTTTTTGGCCCCACGTCGCCATTCTGGGTATTCTGTGATCGATTCGCCCCGTGTTTGGTTGGGCCCGCGCCGCGTGGTTCGGCGGTATTTTTGAGGGAGGAACGCAGGAACGCAGGAACGCTAACGCACCGAACGAAAAAAAAAATGAGGAACGCTATTCCAGGAACGCACTAACCGCGGCCGGAGGAACGCAGGAACGCTAACGCACTACCGAAAATCGAGGAACGCGCCCAGCTCTGGCGAACTGACATGCCTACCAGAACCAAGGGCCTATAACTGCAAAGCAGGGACCATTTAGTTTGTCTTAGGTACGTCATTTCATTAACCATTGTTAATACGGGGACGAGCCGGCAAGCAGCAAACCAACAGAGACAAAAGGGCAGGCAGTAAAAATCACAAGCCACTTGTTGAAAGTGAAAGCAAAATGCTAATCCCTTATTCGATTCTCTCAAAAATAAAAAAATGATCATTTAGTAAACTTTTTCTTTTCAACGACAAAATACGGGCGAAACACCGCAGCTTTAAACAATAAAAACTGTATATTGTAACGAGCAAATCAACGTTTTCACACATAACACTCGGTTATCTATCTCGAACGATACCCAAATTCCAAGACAGCGTACCTTTCCATGTTTTGTTTGACGATCACATGACCTAGTTAGTGTAATTTACCGCACGTGATAACGCGCAAACCGTGTTTGTGCATGTGCATAAACTACTGCAACTAACAGCAACGCAGCATTAGAAAGACTTGTCATCTGGTAAGTCCACTTCCTCCTTGCGGCATAGCACATTCGGACCGACAGCAGCTTTCGCGACACACATACCCATTCAACACTGGTTTTGATCGGGCCACGCAGTAGGTTTTCACGCACAACACGAGCATTGCGTACAAATAGGTATTATAGGTAACTATGTTCACATTCGCAGTGATCGACAAACTTATTTGCATCTTCTCGAGCTGGAAAGAAGTGCTTCATCCAGGTTAACACCAGGCCTCGCAAAAGTAAATACCGAGCTACCAACATAATACCGCATTCCAATTTCCAAACACCTCCCTGATCATCACCGCCTGAGCTGCCACCTGGCGGTCACGTGCGTGGCTGATGCTGCCAGCTGGCGGCCAGAAGGTGGTCGGTGCTGCCACCTAGCGGCGGACGTCGCAGCGCTGGAGGTTGCGCTCGGGCCGCAGCACAAAGTCGACGATGTGGATGACGCCGTTTGAGATCGGGATGTCGGCGCGTATCACCTGAGCCTGTTTGCTGACTGTAGAAATGCGACCTGTCGGGTAGAAGCAGGACAGTCAGGATACCAGCCAAGGGACGAAGACTGGGAATAGGGTGCCTCCGGGCTGGTCCTGGCCTGATGGTGAAATAAATGAGGTTGAAAGCAACAAAGCGTGGACAACATATTTACTTGTCAATTATAACCGCAGAAGACAGACTCATATAACTGAAGGCGCAGCGAATTGTAAGCGGCGTTGAAAAAACGTACGATCTAAGCTCGAACGGAGACACGTCACTTCCTGGGTGCGGCACGTCCGCACCTAAGGCCCCGATTAACACGCTGCCACATTGCGATGGTGCTACTCACGCGTGTATCCGTCGGTGACAACCTGAAGCTCGAGCTCCTGTCCGTCGAGCAGCGTCTCCAGCCACTGTCCGTCACGCAGTCCGGCGCTGTAGAACGTCCCCGGAACCATGTGGTACAGCAGCGAGTCTGGCCGACACAGAGAGAGAGAGAGAGAGAGACCGTCAGCTGCAGTGAACACGGTATTATGCGTGATCTCACAAAACATAGTCACTAGCGAGGAAACTGCAGTTGGCGAATATAAAATTCAAACCTTGCGGTTAATAAATCATATATCAACGTTACTAAACTAAATAAACAAAACTAAACCTAGTGCACAAATTCACTAAAAGTTTGAAACCCTTTGAGGTAGAACGGTGTCAGCCCGAGAAACGTCCTGCTCTTCTGCATACTTTGCATGACTTTGGTGCTGTTGCTGAAGTCCTCCATCAGCGAGTTGGGGTCGGAGAAGGCGGCTGATATCGGCAGGAACAGGGTCAGCGGCGCCTGCTGACTCAGCAGCTGTGACACCCCCAGCTTGGAGAGCATGTTCGATACACCTGCAAACACCGACAGTGCCGTCAGCGCAGAGAACGTATTGGAGAGCGCCAGCATGAGTGTCCATCCCAAGCTATGCATTACCAGCGACGTTGAATACAGCATTCGGAGGCCCACGGTTGTATTCCACACTAAAAAGTAAAAGCTACGATTATATCATATGTCACTAAAATGTAACAGCCGCTCCTCGCCCGTCCTGCCACCATCCTTCTCACCGGAGAAGTCCAGGTCGGCGCACTGCTGGGTCGAGACGTACTGCAGGGCGTCCAACACGGCCTCGGCGACCAGCGCCTTGTCCAGCACGTGGATCACGCCGCCGCTGGAGGAGCTGGCGTCACTCCGCAGCACCTGGGCGCCGTTCACCGTCACCACTCTCTGCAATAGGTCGGCAGAGTGAGCTGGCAATGCCGCAAAAGGTAAGGTGATTAATGGAGCAAACCATTGACGCCCAAATTGCAACGTCTCATTTCTAAGCTTTGGCTAGTGCTTTATTCATTGTGGGCTCAAACTGATGTTTATCATATGCAACTTGCAAGTTGATCATGACCTACATGTCAGACACCGTATATCGACACCTTTTTTTAAACTCCACATCTGCTCTCCCGTGAATTTCCGGGAGGCACGAAAGATCACCTTTTAAAAGTGTCCAATCGTCCGATCCTTATCAAAAATATGTGTGTTCGTAGGCCTGTTCTGGTATTGCTTTATCTGCCAAGACAGACAAACTTGAGAAAAATCGAGTGATTGTACCTTTTTTGAAGGTCTCTAACCAACTTGTCTGAAATTCACCGGAGAACAAATGTGGGGTTTAAAAAAAAGGTGTCGATATATCGCCGCATTCTCACCCACCTTGCTGTAGCGGCTCATCTGGTAGATGTTGATGCGCAGCGTGGCGCCGCTGGGGCTGGCGCTCTTCAGCACCATGTTGTCGTTGAAGGCGGACAGCGGCACGGCCAGCGGCGTGACGTGGTGCAGCAGCAGCTGGCGCAGGCGGCCCGGGTCGGCCGACAGCTGCCGGCGCAGACTGTACGGCAGCAGGCTCCACGCTTCGTCCGTGAACGCAAACACCGTCACGCCACCTGCGGGTCCGATATTTTCAACAACGGTCGGGTGAGGTCGTATAGCGGTCGCGTGAGGTCACACGCTGGTACGGTTATGTGGGGTCCCGAGTGACCGGAAGACAGTCAGGTGGAGTCAGACGAAGGTTACATAAGGCAAACATGTGAGGTTATGGGTTTAACCCGCGCGGGGCTGGGGGGGGGGTAAATTTTACCCCCCTCGCGAATTTTTGCAATATCTCAAAAACGGCGGCGCGCAGCGCCGCCAAACTTTCCGTACCTTTTCTTACATCAATTTGACACGTTCCCTGAAAATTGGAGCGAAATCCGTCGGAAAATGTTTGAGAAATTGACGTTTTAGTGACGTCATGTTCGCCATTTTCGCCTCAAAAACGGCAAAAGTTCAAACGCCGCTAGCATCTTCATTTTTAAAGGAATCAAGACGTAACAAAAAAGGATATACGTAATTCTACTTCGTCTATCAAATGGCTATCTCCGTTTTTTGAAAATTTGGATTTTGGCCCAATTTTTTTTTTCAAAAAACTGACTTTTTGGGAAAATAATTATAAAATCCAAAATTTTCAGTGTATCGAAAAAAAAAAACGGAATATATGTCAGAGAAGTGGTCCATGTGCACTAACATACCAAGTTTTAGAAGAATCGGTTAAAAAATGTGGGAGTTATTCAAAATTTTATGACGTCACGACACACAAAATTTTTGAAAAATGACTTTTTTGGAAGTTCTAGACCTCGTACAGAAACAAAAATAGCACCATTCGATTCGCCGTGAAAAACTGCATTAGATAGACACCTTTTTAGGCCTTAACAACCATTTTCAAAATTTGACCTCACTTGACCTGACCTTGACCCGTTGACCTGACCTCGACCTGAAATTCATCCAGAGGTGGTCCATATCACTTATTGAGTGTGCCTATTGAATTCTATGAGTAAAATGACCCATAAAACATGTGTCGCACATACCCTTTTCAATATTTTGTTTTTGGTGACCTGACCTGACCTGACCTTGACCTTGACCTCTGAATGATATTGTATGGAACGAATATTGTCTTGGTAGCCTAAAAACACGTTTTGGGCGATCAGTCTCAGTCCATGACTCCATTCTTCGGCAACTACGGTGCAAGGCCGATACTGTAGGAACTTGCAATTTGTACCCTTGACCTGACCTTGACCTTGACCTCAAACTTAAAATTAACCCGCGACCTGGTGGGGGGGGGGCTATTTTTTGCCCCCCCTCAAGACTTTTCGATATATCTCCAGAACCACTGCGCCGATCGTCATTAAACTTTCAGTACCCTCCCGGACATCAATTTTACACATTGTGACCAAAAATTTTTCCAAAGGCTATGATAGGTTGGCCGGAAATGACGTCAGAGTGACGTCATGTTCTGCCGTTTTCGACCCAAAAAAGGGTTTCGCGGGAAGAGCTGTCAGGCCTATAGCTTTGCAAATACAGAAAAATGATACAGACATAAAAGCTGTAGAATGGACAGGGCTACAAAACTGCTATCTCGGATTTTTGAAATTTTTGGATTTTGACCCCCAAAAATCAAAAAATAGATTTTTTGAATATAATAGCCAAAAAATCCAAAAAGTTTTTTGGATTTCGAAAAAAACCGGAATATATGTGATAGTCCTTAGCGCCTTCTATCTACATACCAAATTTGAGATCGATACCTCTTTTTTTGGCCAAGTTATAGCGAAAAAACTGTTCAAAATTGATGACGTCAAATTTTCAAACTCAATTTTTTGCAATTCTAGACCTCGTAGCGCAAAACAAAGACCACCATTAGACTCCCCGTGACGAGCTGCATCGAATCAATACCCATTTTATGCAAAAATATCAACTTTGAAATTTGACCTTTTTTGACCTGACCTTGACCTGACCTCCACCAGAAAGTGACCTAAACCGTACCTGATGGTCTTATAACCAACACCATTGAGTTGGAAATGAAAAACTGGCCATAAAACATGCATCGCATAACCTTAGTAAAGTTGGGTTCATGTGGTGACCCTTGGTGACCTTTGGTGACCTGACCTGTGACCTGACCTGGTATGACCAGTGACCTCTAACAGCAACATATCTACTAGGCAACTGACGCCCTATCGCTGATTCCCGACAAAATGCGTTTTCCTCGGTGTTATAGCGCATTCCCTAGAAGACCCGTGAACGGTGAAACATTTCATCTTTGACCTGACCTGTGACGTCATCGGTGACCCGGAGGTCAATAAAATTTGGTTTCCCCCGACAAATTTGACAGGCCTTTCGAACGCCGTTTGAATTTTTCGGATCCGTCCAGTAGTTTCGGAGATACGAGGGGGGGCAAAAAATAGCCCCCCCCCCCACCAGGTCGCGTTATAAACAGACCCCACCAGGGCGCGGGTTAAGTACATGTTTTTAGTTGTTCGTGATGAGATCTTTCGATTGGCGTTTGAATTTTCCAAATCGGACCAATAGTTCGGGAGATAACAGGGGGGGGGGGTAAAATTTACCCCCCCCCCAGCCCCGCGCGTTCGGCTGGAGACCCCAGCCCCGCGCGGGTTAACCCGCGAGTTGCTGGGGGGGGGGGCGTTAAACGCCCCCACTTTTTTCGCCGGGCCATAGCATAAAAACGGCGCGCCTTGGGTACCTGTAGGGAATTGATTGAAGTGTATTGTGACAAAGTTTCAAAAAAATCGGTCGGAAAAATTTTGAGATATCGAGGTTTTAGTGACGTCATGATTTCTGACTTTTCGACCAAAAACGGCATATGTTCAAAAAATAATATAAAATCACAGAATAGACATACAGATATGCCGTAAACGCCATTAGACTGCCAATACCATGAACAATCGAATGGCTATCTTCGATTATTGATTATCGTTCCGCTTTTTCCAAAATCTTGAACTGAATCTTGGCAATTTTTCGTGACTACTTCACGACCATGATACATGCATTTCTTAAATTGAACTTTTTGAGCCAAACACGTACACATATGATAAAATGAAAGTCACCATCGTATTCTACGCCCCAAATTACCCATAAAACATGTGTCACAGGCTGCAAATATCAGTTTTGATTTTCGGGGATATTTGCCTACCCGGTTGACCTGACCTTGACCCTGACCTATGCTTGACTGACCCCTACATGGAGCTGACACTCTTTTAGGCCTTTTATGATGGATTGTGCACCGTTTTGACAGAGTTTATGACGAGAGGCGCCCATTGCGAAGTCCTGAAGTCCATGCTACTGAAAGGTGTTTTTTTCAGGTGTTTGACCTGACCTTGACCCGACCTGTGACCTCAAAATTCAACTTTAAAGTACTCATCTGAAGCGTCTCGTCGCGTTCTTTCGTTTGCCGCCTCGTGCGTTTCGCTGCGCCTATTGGTTCTCGAGTTATCGGCTGGGGGCGTTTAACGCCCCCCCCCCCAGCAAACGGTGGGCGGCGAAATACCCCAGCAACTGCCGGGTTAACGGTAGTCACCTTGCAATTTCGTAAGGCGGTCGTAGGACCATCGCACAGTGGTCAGTGGTCAGTGGTGAATAGTGATGCGACGCTAATACGGTAGTCACAGGTCGGTCGCATTAGTTATATGCTGGTTGCTGATCGACGGCGGACCGCTAAAATTCATATAATGGTATGAAATTCGATAATAATGATAATAACGCAGATGTTTACTGTTACTTTCGCTTTTCGGTAATTGGCTGTCGGTCCAGACGGCTTCTAGATCTGAGTCACACCGCGCGATACTCGAGGCTGAGTGTTCTCAGACGAACCAGATGGTCCCATCGCCGGTATGATTGGCTAAGACGGTCTCGGTGCTATTAATTGCCTGTTACGTCAGTTAGGTAATAGGTAGGCATTACCGATTTAGACGACAACTGACTGCTAAGATTTGGCAGCGTGTGAAGGTGCTGGAAAGGACGGTTAGCGCAACTTGTAATCAGGGGCGGATCCAAGGGGGGGGGTCACATGGGTCATGGCCCCCCCCTTGAGGCCCGGGGGCCCAAAGACCTGCCAGGGGCACCACCGGCCTATCAGGGGTATCACAGTCCTACTCCTGACAGGGGCACCACAGGACCGCCAGGGGCACCACAGGCCTAGCAGGGACACCACGGGCCTGGTGCCCCTGGGCCCTGACAGGACTGTAACGCCCCTGACAAGCCTGAAGTGTCCCCGGCAGGCACGTGGTGCCCCTGACAGGCCTGAGGCGCCCCTGCAAGGCCGGTGGTGCCCCTGGCAGGCCTGTGGTGTTCATGGCTGGCCTGTGGTGCCCTTGCTAGGTCTCTGGTGCCCCTGACAGGCTTGTAATGCCCCTGGAAGGACTGTGGTGCCCCTGGGCCCTGACAAGCCTGAGGTGCCCCTGACAGGCCAGTGGTGCCCTTGCTAGGCCTGTGGTGCCCCTGGCAGGCCTCTGGTGCCCCTGACAGGCTTGCGGTACCCTTGGGCAGTAATCGCCACGCCATGTGTGGATCGCCCATGATCGTAAATACATACATACATACATACATACATACATTGGAAGGACTGTGGTGTCCCTGGGCCCTGACAAGCCTGAAGTGCCCCTGACAGGCCCGTGGTGCCCTTGTTAGGCCTGTGGTGCCCCTGGCAGGCCTCTGGTGCCCTTTCTAGGCCGCTGGTGCCCCTGACAGACCTCTGGTGCCCTTGCTAGGCCGCTGGTACCCCTGCGCCCGGAGAGGACTGGTGCCCCTGAAAAGTCTGAAGTGCCCCTCGGCAGGCCCGTGGTGCCCCTGACAGGCCCAAGGTGCCCCTGCGAGGCCGGTGGTGCCCCTGGCAGACCTCTGGTGCCCCTGGCAGGTCTGTGGTGCCCCTGGCAGGTCTGTGGCGCCCCTGGCAGACCTGTGTTGACTGGTGCCCCTGCTAGGTCGCTGGTGCCCCTCACAGACCTGTGGTGCCCCTGGGCCTTGACAAGCCTGAGATGCCTGGCTATGACAGGCTCGTGGTGCCCCTGATAGACCAGTGGTGCCCTTGCTAGGCCTGTAGTGCCCCTGGCAGGCCTCTGGTGCCCCTGCTACCCCTGCGCCCGGAGAGGACTATGGTGCCCCTGAAAAACCTGAAGTGCCTCTCGACAGGCCCGTGGTGCCCCTGGGCCCTGACAGGCCCAAGTTACCCCTGCGAGGTCGGTGGTGCTCCTGGCAGGCCTCTGGTGCCCCTGGCAGGTCTGTGGTGCCCCTGGCAGGCCTGTGTTGACTGGTGCCCCTGCTAGGCCGCTGGTGCCCCTCACAGGCCTGCGGTGCCCCTGGAAGGACTGTGGTGCCCCTGCCCCTAGGGGTGCTCATGGGCCCAACAGGCCCGTTGTGCCCCTGACAGGCCTGTCGTGTATACTTGCTAGACCTGTGGTGCCCCTGCTTCCTGGCAGGCCTGTGGTGCCCCTGGCGGGCCTGTGGCGCCCCTACAAGGCCGTAGGTGCCCCTGACAGGTTTGTGGTGTCCCTGGAAGGACTTTGGTGCCCCTGACAAGCCTGAAGTGTCAAGGACAGACCCTTTAGACGCCAGGGTCAAGTTCGTCGGACTGACAACGATTTGCTTACCTGATAACGTTCCTGGTAAGTACTCACTACTCAGCGTCCACAACATATATACACATAGCACATTCATATATACTTGCTTACAATTGGTAAATGTGGTTGTGGCTAAGAGTTAAGATACTGACTAAAAATAAAAAATAAAAAAAAAAACTGAAAATGGGGGCACCACCAAAATGAAGTGGACGAAATCCGTTGAGTTTTTAATTTTGGGTATAGGTAGGGGCACCACTTCGATTCATGACCCTCCCCTTGGAGTTTTCCTGGATCCGCCCCTGCTTGTAATTACCAGTAAATAGCGAACTACGTTACGATGCCAGTCAAATATCAGCCGAGACGGATTTTATAAGAAAGTACTAGTGGTGTCAATTGGAAGTCGGAACTTGAACCTTTGGAATTCCCATTTTATCCAATGTCCTATTCTGAATTTGGTTGGACAGTGGCAGACATGTGCTTGGATCCGGAAAAATGGATCTGAGATCCGATCCCATGGATCCCGATCCGAGATCCATTCAGATCATAGATCCAACCCCTCAATTTTGTCGAGAGATCTACTGGGATCATAGATCTGACCCTTCAATTTTGTCGTGAGATCCATTGGGATCATAGCTCATAGGTGCTCAAAATGTTGACAACTTTCTTTCATAAGAAGTTATGAATACCAAAGTATGGTTAGAAACAAACAATATTATACAAAGACCATATTAGTAAAGGCATCCAGTTACATTATACAGAATACAAAATAAAGGAGGCTCATGAGTCATGATGGTCACAACTTAAGAGAATTGAGTGACATGAAGATTGTTCACAGTTCACATACCAACAGAAAAGTTTGCATTAACAATTAACATAGAGGTAAGTCAAAGTAATGACTAATGAACAATACATAACTAGGTACCTACCACATCACAATTCATGTTAGAATCTACATAATGATATTGATAAGACAATCTCATTGATCTTGCATAAGACAACCATGAGGCTTTCCAGTTTCCAGCTACCACAATTGATTGATAAACAATAAAAGATGTGGTTAGGTAAAGGTATTTCAATCTATTGAAAGAAATATTTGATAAAATAAACTGAGATATAAACAAAAGCATAAAAATATTCAACAGCCTGCGGAAGCGATGGGAAGCGAAATATCAATTGTAATGGCCTTGGATATTTACCGTAAAATGAATATTCAGTATCTAAATTGAACTCGTGACGTCATTTCAAATAACAAATGAGCTAGGCGTTCTACCTTCGAGTATTATGAAAATAAATAAAAAATCAAACTGGAAGTTCAAAAGTTTGGAGCTTTTTTTTTAAAGAATGTTCATTTTTTCTGCCTCACATAATTTTACGATACGATTGTTTGTGAATATCATCTTTGTAGCGTTGAATTTAATGACGTAAACGTAAGCTGAAACGGTATTATATGGCCCTGAGCGGTGTGCGCCTTGCATCTTTATTTTATTCATTTTTCAAAAGAATAACAATATCTTACGTCATTAGTTAAAAGGGCCTATTACGGGGAATCTTTTGGAATCATTACGGGCTTGGTCAAATTAAGATTTTTCATTGGTCAAACGATAATGACGTAATAAAACCATATTACCAAAACGTGAGCTGTGAATTTCGTTTGTCATTTTTTGGGAGGCTCTCTCATAACAAAAGCACAGCATGGCACCACACGTGTGGCACGATGCCAAAAGTGGCCAAAAGTAGGTAATCTGAAGAAGTTGATGCCATTTTTGAACTTGTAATTTTATTAGGAAAGTATTAGAGGTTGGTTGATATTCTTACTAAATCGAAATTGTGTTGCACATACTAATAGCTCATATGAACATTCTGGATTGGGATTTCATACCTGGCAGAAGTGGATTGCTGGATTATTTTTAACAAAACTGACCTATTTGGCTTCCAGGTTTGATTTCCTAACATCTGTCCATAGGCGGCAGAACAGGGGGGGGGGGGGTGGCACCAGGGTACAGTGCCCCCCATAGATTTTGGCATTTTAGCATTAGCCCTACTGGCGTTGCAGAAAGAATGGGACCAAAATGAAAATCTGCAGTGCCCTGCTGCCACTGCATCTGTCTGTACTGTTTGTTCTTTGAATTAAAGTGGCTGGAGCTTGTTGATAAGATTGTCATCAGTGCTGTCATGAAAAAGTTACAATTGGTCACAAAAAGTAGCAATATGCATGTACTTGGTTTATTTTAAATGTAGTACAAATGTTGTTTATTTAAATTCAAATTTAATGATGATACCTAATGATCACAAGTGGTCTTAACCAATAACCATGTCCACAAGTGATAATTCTCAATTGTATTGCACTGTAAGGCGTACAATTATGTAGGATAAGGGTTTCATTGGCTACATGTTGTCGTGAGATCCATACAGATCATAGGTCCTCCACAAATTTTTGCCCGCTGGATCCACAGAGATCATAGATCCGACCCCTAAATTTTGTCGAGAGATCCATTCAGATCATAGATCCAACCCCTGAATTTTGTCGAGAGATCCACTCGGATCATAGATCCAACCCCTCTATTTTGTCGAGAGATCCACTGAGATCATAGATCCAGCTCTCGGATCCAAGCACATGTCTGGACAGTGGCAGCAGCAGGCTTTGGACAACATTGGACAATTACTTCCCACATATCAGCATGTTTATACAGTAATCGTGCATAGCATTGCTTTGCGAATAAAAAGCTCAGCTTTCGATATGAAAAACATTTTTAGCTGGTAATATAGGGGAGACCCGGGAGGTATGGGCCCCCTGGAGGTATGGGCCATCGCAGTTTTGAAGAAGTGTTGCATATTTTTACACATTTGACGGCGTTAACTGGTAGCAGCCATTCAGTGATTACATCCCACGTGATTTTCGAAACCTTCCGCAGTCTTCTATCGCAATGTGCGGCGATAAAGCGTTTTTGCCCTCTTCGAGTAAAATACGGTACATACAGAAAATTCGTGATAAATTTGAACTAGGCTCGTTTTATGATGTCAGACCATCGCTAACATAAAGTTTAAAGCATGCAAATTAAGACTGGGTAGACAATACGAAGCTTTCTTGCAAGATTATGAGCTGGGATGCTACGCACATTCTGGCGTCCTAACCAAGAGGTTTGGGCCACCCACCCCCGGTGATCCTAAATAAATAAAAAGATGCTTTCATTAAATGTCACCGTCAATAAGTTTTATTTTTGTCGCGCAAGGTCGAAAAATTAACTTCAAATTTCATTCGAACAGAAATATATTATTCATCTTATTTCATGGTGCATGATTGAGTTTACCAAAATACATATGGGCCCAAGTGACCTCCATGAAGCAAGCTGTTGGTCACTTATGCGGTTCCTGGGCTCTAAGAGAGATCGAGGTAGATACCAGCTACGAGTATTATTCTCATTGTCGAGAAAATAATATGAAACATGACACCGGCCCGTACCTCCCGGGCCATGGCCCATACCTCCCGGTGCATTTTGATGGATCGAAAAAGCACATGATTTATTGAAAGTTATCTCGAGACAAAATACTTGATCCCAGATGCCTAATTTCATGCACACGTTGCAGGCGAAAGACAATTTCACGTACATAGAGTGAAAAACCGAGTCTAGCCACTGCCCACTGGAAGAAAATTGCCTTTTCACAAAACCGGCCCATACCTCCCGGGTCTCCCCTACATTAGGAAATTTAATTGAGAGTTAACTATTGCGTAGGTTTTGGACATCTTTGGACAAATGGCTGGCTTGGACATTTTTGGACGGACAGACGACGTAAGTCTTGGACCCTGGACGGACATGGACATACATTTTCTGAAACCATGACACCACTAGAAAGTACGCGTAGTGCGCGACTGTTTTGCCACGACCGTCCCGCAGAGCTCAGAAGCACTGCGGTGCAGCATCGCTCCAGTGTATGATACAGCGCACCGTCAGTCGGGGATGGTCGCTCTCCAAATAAAGTCGTGCACGACTCAGGGTTACTGCGATGCAAATCGAACCAAGGCCCCGGGTGGCGGGGACTCGATAGGACTCTTGACTACTCAGTGTTAACTTACATACGTATGTGGTAGGTCAGTTGGTGAGAGCATTCGCAGCCTGGAAAGTCAGTGAATGGGACGACGGACCACGCCATAGACTGCGTCTTAACCCTCGCCGGCCGAGGGGGGGGGGCGGGTGCCGCCCCCCCCCCATAGGGTTTTTTCGCGATAGCTCCGAACACGCTGACGATAGAGCGCTGAAACTTGGCATACCTGACCTTTGATCCAAGCCGCATCTTTTGACACCAACCGCATTTTTGGGTCAGGTCAGGTCACTGACCTATGACGTCATAAGTGAACCTCTGCACGGTCTTCAGATGTCGCAACTTCGCAACGCCCTCACTGCCAGAGGAGATGTCACAGGTTAATGAAACTTGCAGGATCTAGTATCCATTATGAGTCTCACAACTTGTATATCTCGGATTTTTCCTAAAGGTCATATGAGGTCAGGTCATTTTCGTGACCTCACCATTATAAGTCAATGGGGAAAAATGAAAACTGCTATTCTGGCGCCGGGAACGATCTCCAACTATCTCAAGCACACAGAATCGTGATTTGATGCACTCCTTGCAAGGTTAGATGCGTCACTTTTGCAATGTTGACCTTCCGTGACGTCATTTATGACGTCATCAAGGTCATATTAGTTTTTCGTCAATAACTCTTGATCAAATTGAGCTAGCGAGTCGAGAAAGCCACCAATGGACTCCGGAAGACCTGCCGAATCGAATGATATGCGACATGACCTCTTTCGACCAACTTCGTGACCTGGGGGTGCTGACCTGACCTTGACCTGAGGTCAACACCCCAAGTTGACCTGACCCGGACAAAAAGTATATCATTCGACGCGCCTGAGCGAGGCGAACACGATGCTGCCAACATCGCGGCTCTGCGGCCGTTTTTTTGCGAAGTTATTCACCCAAAACTGAACCGTACCCTGGGGCACTGGACCTGACCTCAGAGGCCACCGGTTGACCTAGGACCTTAAAATCGGGTACCAATCTCTGCGTCTCGTAACGGCGCACACGCTCGTTTTTTCCGCGACGCGCTAGCTCCAGCAGGGACGAAACGGCGAGGGGGGGGTCGTACCCGCCCCCCCCCCCCTCGGCCGGCGCGTATGTAGAAAACCAATAGGTCCGGCGAGGGTTAACAGGCTCCGACTACGATAAGTGATAACTCATCCATTCGGTATTCGCAAGTTGCGAACTTAAGACTACATAATATGATTATGTGCAGCGCCAGCAGGTGTTGACTGTCGAGAGTAAAACGGCTGTTGGTGCAATATTATTAGCATACTAATCATTGATTGCATCACCGAAATGTAGCGTAATACTTTACACAGCCACTAACGGTCTCCTTCTGTAACTTTGTAATATCACAGCTGCTGGTGAACAGCTGCTATCGTTTTCCTGAAGCTAGGGACCGGCTGGCGGTCCTGAACTGAGAGTGGGGTGCTCGACGGCGGTCATTAGCGACACGTGGAGACCGACTGACGCTGTGTAATCGTGATGGATCAGCAGTGAATCGTGATGGATCAGCAGTGAATCGTGATGGATCAGCAGTGGACACTGCAGACGGGACAGCGGACAGATCAGTCGCGCACGTTGTCCGCTGCTGGACAGGGAACGGTTCTTGGATGCAAGGGTGTCCAGGGGACAAGAAGAGCGTCGCCGTCCGTCATATAGAAGTTCGAGTCACAATAACAAGCATGGCCTTATTTCGGTTTACTTCCAATGGTACAAGGAACATTAAAATTATGTTGAAATCACCTTTCCAATGTCTACTTAAATGACACTTCAAGGGAGCGCCATAGAAGTTCGCAAGAGTCATGAATATAAAGACGTCCTTGAGGTAGGCTGGCTGGTGTTACAAGACCGCGTCTTCATGGCGCTGCAGCCGTTAACACATTCCCATTGTCAAATTAAACAAAGCTAGGTTGTTCTTTTCTGTCACGGTGGAGCATGTGACCCACTTTGAAGCTGGTTACAGCTCTAACGTGAATGAGATGACACCACTGTTGTGCAACATGAGATCTCTGCGTGTCAGCAGCCTCTGGAGTCACGGTAACGAACCAGTGACGTCACATACCGTGACGGCTACGTACACAAACAATGTGACTTGCATAACACTCATTTACATTTAGTTGTAGTAAAAGAGTAGCTCTACATACTCTAGGATGTAGCAGGTGTTAGGTGGATTGTATTTCAGTGCATGGCTGGTGGTCACTTATGTGTAATGGAAGCAACAAAACGAGATACAACTATGGGCGTAGGAACAGGGGGGGGGGGGGCGGTGGCTGCATGCTCCCACTTTTCAACCATTCTTTTCAGTAAATTTTTTATCATTCAAATACAAAACTGAGAGCAGGAAATGGTTCAGCAAGGTGAGATGAGCACAAAAGTGAAAAGAATTTCTTCATAGGAGTATTGGGGCTCCCGCAAAGTGACATTGAAGTTTCGCTGCCCCCACCCCCACACACACTTTTCGTGAGGTTCCTTTCCTACGTGCATTATACAGACGACAAACACAGTACCTAAGTCAAACGCTGCATTTTCAAAGACCAAAATAAATTACTGAATTTACCAAACCAATAAAGTTGTGTAAAGCAGCGTTGCGGTCGCACTCGGCGTCAGTAACGTAAACTGTAACGTTTGAAAGGTTCATGGCCCATGGGTCTAAAATATGCAATATAGCGCGGCCTTTTGCCCTCAACCGATGCAACACACGGAAAATAGGGCTATGTTGTCCAGCACCAGCAGCACTGGGTGGTAAGTAGGTAATCATGTGGCTAAATGAAAACGGCACCGAACTGAAGCGGTCACGCTGCAGTGTGCTACCGGCGGTCAAGGTCGCTGGCGGGAGAGCGCGCAGCCGAAAGACCCCACTCTGTTCAGAAACACTCATTCGGGAATATATAGGAAAAATATATAGACGACGCTGTTTGACTTACATGTTTCCAAGTGACAGGAGCTTGCGGGTGCTTAGAGCTTATACTTTGCAAACCTCGGATTTTATTTCATGAAGGTCACTTCAGGTCAGGTAGAGCACACGATAACTCTTTGCGTGTTTGATGTCACCTACGACGCCACCGAAGCTAACTATAACTATTTCAAGTAACCGTAATCTTTTGTCAAGAACTCCCAATCAAATTGCATATGCACGAGCGGGGCCCAAGGAAGAGTGTAGGTCACCAGCTAGCGTCGGGTACTCACCGCGAGACTCGAGGACCTTCTGCAGACCGGCGCGCTCCACCAGCGTCAGGAAGCGCAGCAGGCCGAGCTGGCGCAGCCGGTCGGTCAGCGCCGCCGGCTGCTGCAGCACCGGCTGGTCGCTGCTGGCCGCCGCCTGCAGCTCCGTCTGCGGCCCCTGCTCCTCCACTCCCGGGCCGGCCGCCGTGCCGACCTCCACCAGGTTCGAGCTGAGCTCCGCCAGCTCAAGCCGGGCCGTGGCGCCGCCCGCACCCCGCGGAGAGATCAGCTCCTCCTCGGCGGTCGGCTCGCTCTCGGGACGCACGTAGGTGGCCACCTTGTCCGAGGCTTGGCCCTGCGGCGGCAGGTAGCGGTAGCCGGTGTGCGGCGGAGACGTCGGCGGCCGAGTGTGGACGATGGTGGTCGAGTGGGTCGGTCGGGGAGGGGACAGCGGGCCCGCAGACGCTGGACCGACCACAGTGGTGTACGGAATGCCGGGGCCGGGCAGCCCGGTGGTCAGGGTGGGCAGCACACCCGTCAGGGTCTCCCGCGGCCCGACACCCACCGTCGTCGAATGGTAGTGAGAGTGGTAGTGGGTGTGGTGGTTCAGACTTCCTCCGCTGCCGGAGTGACCTCCCGTGCCTTTTCCGCCACCAATGTGACCTCCGCTGTGACCTCCACTGCCTCCGGGGTAGCCGCCGGTTCCCTTTCCTCCAGTATGACCTCCGCTGTGACCTCCATTGCCTCCCGGGTAGCCTCCCGTGCCCTTTCCACCGCTGTGACCTCCACTATGACTTCCGCTGCCTCCGGGATAGCCACCGGTTCCTTTCCCTCCAGTATGACCTCCGCTATGACCTCCGCTGCCTCCGGGGTATCCGCCGCTGCCCTTTCCTCCGTGACCGCCGGTGCCAGGGCCGCCTGGGTAGCCTCCGGTTCCTTTTCCTCCACTATGTCCCCCGCTGCCAGCCGGGTACCCTCCGTCTCCCTTGCCTCCTCCGGTGCCGGGGTAGCCGCCGGTGCCTTTGCCTTTGCTCGGCGGCCCGTACGAGTTGGAGGGCGGCCGCGGGCGGACGTTGGGCGGTCCGTACGTGGTCTGCGGCCGCGGCGGTCCGTAGGTCAGCGTCGGTCGGATCGGCGGTCTCGGGCGCGGAGGACCGTAGTGAGACGGCACCTTGCTCGGTCCCGGGTACTTCCCCGAGTTACCTTTGTCCTTGCCCTTGTTGAAGAACGGGAAGAAAAAGGCGTCCGCCACAGAGACGAGGCCCAGGGCCAGCAGCACAAGATCGCACCTCATGGCCGTTCTCCGACAAAGTCCGAGGAGCGTTACACTGAAGACGTCCCCTCAGCCCGACGCACGACGCACAAGTGCCCCTGGAGTCGGACGGAGGCCGCTGGTCGACTTTCATCTTCGGCCGGCGCCGCGCGAGGACGACACTTTTTCTCTCGATGCAAGCGGGGCGCGAATTACAAAACGGCATCCGGGCCGATACGGCGACGGGGCGGCGTCTGCGGCGCCGCGGCGGACGGGCCGGAGAACAATACGCGCTGGGTGGCGCAAAGTGACGCCGCGCCCTCCCCAGTAGCCGCGCCACGAGCGGCGCGCAATCCGTGCGAAACGGAAAACGAAAGTGCGCCGTGCCGCGGCCTCGGACGACACGCCGGCCAGGTGGGCTGCACGTGCCGGCACGCGCCCGGCGGCGACAGAGGACTGGTAATGAACGCCGCCTCACGGACCTGCCGTGTACCGCCGCAGGCTACCTGGCAATTACACCGTCACCGTGTCGACCACGTGACGAAAACGGGGCAGCGGTGGCATCATCTTGGACAGATGCGTGGCCAGCAGACCGCATCGACCCCACATGCAAGCGGCAATTATAGTGTCACGATGCAGCTTCTTACAATGGGATTCAGAACGCAGTGCGTTAGCGCCTGGTCCTGGACGTGACCATCGTTCATCACAACGCACGCAAAGACACAGAATGAAAGCAAGGAATGGGTTAGCAGGGGCGCGGGAACTACAGACTGGGGGGGGGGGGGGCACACCATAATAGAGATCAACCTAGGGTACCCCCAAATCTAGTTTTCTCACCGGTTTTAGGCCACATTTTTCATCCCTTGGATTTAACCCGCGCGGGGCTGGGGTCTCCAGCCGAACGCGCGGGGCTGGGGGGGGGGGGGGTAAATTTTACCCCCCCCCCTGTTATCTCCCGAACTAATGGTCCGATTTGGAAAATTCAAACGCCAATCAAAAGCTCTCATCACGAACAACTAAAAACTTGTACTTAATTTAAAGTTTGAGGTCAAGGTCAAGGTCAGGTCAAGGGTACAAATTGCAAGTTTCTACAGTATCGGCCTTGCACCGTAGTTGCCGAAGAATGGAGTCATGGACTGAGACTGATCGCCCAAAACGTGTTCTTAGGCTACCAAGACAATATTCGTTGCATACAATATCATTCAGAGGTCAAGGTCAAGGTCAGTTCAGGTCAGGTCAGGTCACCAAAAAACAAAATAGGTATAGAAAAGGGCATGTGCGACACATGTTTTATGGGTCATTTTACTCATAGAATTCAATAGGCACACTCAATAAGTGATATGGACCACCTCTGGATGAATTTCAGGTCGAGGTCAGGTCAAGGTCAGGTCAAGTGAGGTCAAATTTTGAAGTTGGTTGTTAAGGCCTAAAAAGGTGTCTATCTGATGCAGTTTTTCACGGCGAATCGAATGGTGCTATTTTTGTTTCCGTACGAGGTCTAGAACTTCCAAAAAAGTCATTTTTCAAAAATTTTGTGTGTCGTGACGTCATAAAATTTTGAATAACTCCCATATTTTTGAACCGATTCTTCTGAAATTTGGTATGTAGGTGCACATAGACCACTTCTCTGACATATATTCCGGTTTTTTTGATACTCAAAATTTTGGATTTTATAATCATTTTCCCAAAAAAGTCAGTTTTTTTAAAACAAATTTAGGCCAAAATCCAAAATTTTCAAAAAACCGAGATAGCCATTTGATAGACAAAGTAGAACTACGTATAACCTTCTTTGTTACGTCTTGATTCCTTTAAAAATGAAGATGTTAGCGGCGTTTGAAATTTTGCCGTTTTTGAGGCGAAAATGGCGAACATGACGTCACTAAAACGTCAATTTCTCAAAAAATTTCCGACGGATTTCGCTCAAATTTTCAGGGAACGTGTCAAATTGATGTAAGAAAAGGTACTGAAAGTTTGGTGGCGCTGCGCGCCGCCGTTTTTGAGATATTGCAAAAATTCGCGAGGGGGGAGTAAAATTTACCCCCCCCCCAGCCCCGCGCGGGTTAAAAAAAGAAAACATTTGCAAACAAAGTGTGGTATTCCGTCTCAAAGCTGTGGGGACATCGCCCCCACGGCCCCAGAACTGGGGGGGGGGCAAGCTGCCCCCACTGCCCCCCCCCCCCCCCGACTCCCGCGCCTATGTGAGTTAGGTATCCTTTCCGCGACAAGTGATTGGTGCCACACAATTTTTTGTTATTGCTCGAAACTCCTTTAGGAAAAAAGGCTGAACTTTGGAAAGCCAGACATTTTCTTTAGGCCTTCGCTTTCTTTGGTCTTTCGCTAGGACTGGGGGAAATGACTCTCATGAAGTTATCCTAGCAATTTGTGAGACCTTTGATTAGGAGATTCAACTCTCAGGTAGACTCCTTATCCCAGCAACTTCAGAGATCTTTCGCTTGGAGATAAAACTCCCATGAAAGAGTATATTCTCGACTCCTTATTCTGAGATTTTTTATCAGGGTAATTTTTCAAAAAAATAATAAAATATGAAAGTCATCAGAGGTCAGGTTGGCCCCATTACTAAACTTCGTCTCTGAGAAAAGGTACAAAATGAGAAACTGTTCATGCAGCGCCAAACATTTGGCACCTTATCATGTACCTATCATGTTATCTCAGTAGGTATAAAGCACATGGAATTGTGATTACATGCCCGGTTCCATGGTGCATCGAGTTTTTTTTTTTGCATTTCGAACCTTTTGTAGTGTCATATAACATGCATGACCTCACACAGGTGATAAGTTATTTGAAGCCATCCGAATGTTTGACAATATGTCCGCAATTAACCGAGTAAGCGAGTCAGAAAAAACGCACCAATGAACTCTCATCGAGCTGCAAAACCGAATGCTATGCAGCGATATCTCCCTCGCCCAGCTTCCAGATCAAACCGGCTTTGACCTGGCCCTGAACTGACGTCAACACCGGAGTTGACCTTACCCAAACAAAAAGTAGATCGTTCAGCGGGACTAGACACTAAGAACGCAATAGTGCCAAAATCGTTGCTTCGTCGCTTTTCTGTGTAATTATTCACGGATAACCGGACCATGACCTTTGGGTTTTTGACGATCTCATAGATCGCTGGTTGGCCTGAGATGCTAGACTTTTGTCATATTCACTGGTCCCGTGACGGCAAAACGGCAAGTACGCTGACTGTTCCGTAAAATTATCAAACCTAGTGCCCAAACAGCGAAAGGGTTGTAACCCCCCCTATGCAGGGGTGTTTTAGAAAACCGATACCCCGGTACGGCCACAGTTATAAGTCATAACCGATATGTAGTCAGCCCCTCCTCCCACAGTCCCACAACGTGGGGCCTCTGGTGCGCGGGTGGCCGAACTTTCCCGCTGCTCCACCGGCGGCGGCGCGTCATATTGGTCGCCGCCGGGGCGACAATTTGTTGTTACAATGGCGTCACGGTCCAACAGCCACGGCGTCACACAGCCGCCCGAACGGGGCCAATGTCTGTCCCCGCCGCGGCGTCAACTGGACTTCGAACAAGGGAGTGTTAGAGCGAGCGAGGATGTTACTCGTATTGTCCGTCGTATAGCAGAGGAGCCGCAATAGGGTGAACGCTGGGAGATTTCAACAATAACGACTCAGCGTCTGGCAATAGTTCAATACTTTCCCGGCCAACAGTGAAAAGTCCTTTGACTAGCAAACAGAGTAAAAGTCTCCATTAAAAATCGCAATCAAGGTGTTGGAGCTGACGAAACAGTTTTGCATCTTTTCAAGACCATAATATATCGGTGAGGATTACCCGACGATCGTCGATTGAAAAAAAATGCCTACAACAATCCAGCCCTGACCCGGCTTCTGACATTTTTCACAGCATCGTCTGGTGAGCTTGCTCGTCTGCAACCACCACGAAACACAGTCTACTGCTCTAAGTAGATGGCGGACTTTCTTCACGGAGCTGAGGAACATTACAGCATCAACAGAATCTACACACGAGCGTCGGCTAAGCCCCTGTCATGGGGCTGCGATTGAGAAGTCCCACAAAGCCATCACCAATCACCATCATGTATCCCGGTTATGTATTCACCGCTAAGAAAAATGGTTTACGCCTCCGATGAGCAATGAAACACTTAAACTGGAGATAAAAGTAGTCTGTATCTCAATAATTTCCCCAAGTGTAGGGAATTTGATATCTATTTTTGGTGGTTGTGTTATATAAGTATGTCAAGTTCAAAATAGTTTATACAGCAGCTCTATTGCATAATTAAACACATCTCACGCAACTAACCAATCCCTTAAAACGTGTTTGTCGGTCATAACCGATCAGTTAAAGAATAACAAAATTGATCAAGTTACAGCATTGAATCAACACCACAAAAAGAACTAAACTATACACACTCCGTAACGGAAATTGATTCGCAAATACGCCCACTACGAAATTTCAAATATGAAAGGATGCTACAGAACATGTGCAGATCAAGAGATGCCTACTAACTGGCAGCAAAAAGTGACTCCCAAATGCAGCAATTAGCGCGACCTGCCATCGCTCGCGCAGTATCACCCAGGAGGGGAGTGAAGAGCGGCTAGTCTCTGCCACTAAATCACCACTCCTCGGACCGTTTACGAGACCGCAGCGCTCGGCGGTCCGAGTAGCAGACAGCACTCGCTCGCTTCGACAGCACAGACCGCACACACACAGATAAGGCAGCCACAGCCCGGACCACGGAACCCTCGACTGAAGGAGTCGCCGCACCATTCACTGGTGACTCGGCAGCGCCGCGGGTCCCAGGCCACACTAGATTCAGCGCCAAACTGAGAAACAAGCAGAGTCGTCCCCAGCAGAGCGGTGCCGCCGCCACATCCCGGCACAGTTAGTCTTAGAGCGCACAATTACGTCGGTAGAGCATGGACTATGGCGGACGAGAGTCTAACCAGCCGCGGCGACAGCGAAATTCACAGAGAAGACCGTTCTCAGTATGCTGCTCAGAGCAGCGCGCCTCACACTTCTGTCGTAACCCACCGACATGGGTGTGTC